ATGTTTTACTCCCTCTAGTGGTTGATTTGATACCACACAGGTTCATTGCCAGCATATCTCCCTGCAGATTTAAACTGCAGGTTTTTATGCCGGACATAAATCTGTATGATATCGAATCAACCACTAGAGGGAGCAAAACACATGCAGAAAAGGGGGGGATGAAGAAACAGGAACTTACTAGCGAGTAAAATGAGAATGTGGAAAGCCCCTCTGTTTGGGATTGCTCTGTAGATCAACGTTGTAATGGCCTACCTCTGAAACTGTAAGCTCAGCATTTGTCTACCTTATTTGCTCAATACCAACTGTTTGGTTTCTTATCCAAAGCAACTTTTCCTCCTGACTCCTCTAGGTTGTCTCTGATACCAAGGAGTTGGTGAATTCTACAGTCACAGATGTCAAGAACACCGTGATCGGCAGACTATCAGGAATGGTTTACAGGACCAAGGATGCCGTACACGGTAGTGTGAAAACAACCACATCCTTGGTGACCAGCAGTATGAGCATGGTGATGGGAACGAAAATGGGCCAGATGGCCATGAATGGTGTGGACGCCATGCTGGAGAAATCTCATGCCTTTGTGGATCATTACCTCCTTGTCACAGATGATGTGATGGGTAAGAAATCCCTAGAAGACTTGCCCACGTGTGTTGTTTTGATCAAGCCTCTTCAGGTGACTTCGGATATTTACGACACGTACAAAATACAAGAAGCACATGGGAGTTGTATCTGGGCGTATAGCTGATATATCTAAAGTGGGGTTGCAGGCATCTCCCTCTTGTGAAAAGATGATTCCCCCATGAGGAGATTTGTTCGTCTCTGTTACTCACTTTTGAGGTTTCCTTATTCAGAATTACTCATGTGATTTGCCTGAAGAAGAACGTCCACATTTGGCTTCCCTCAAAGTTCCAAACTTTCCCGTCCTCTTCCTAAATAGCAGAACAGAACCCTGATTCAGACCGGGACTCTAGCGTGCAGTTAGTCTTGGTTGTCTGGAGATTGCCAGCTGCTATAACTGGCCACCAGAAAACCAAGATCAGTCCTCCTGGTGAAAATGGCTGCTTCAGAAGGTGGACTGTAGAGCATTACACCTTGCTGAGGCCCCTCCCCTCCCCACCCTTTAACACCCTCCCCCAAATTTCTAGGTATATCCCAAACCAGACCTGGCAACCCTAGTAACGCTTTTTCCCTTCTACCATTTTTCCTGAAAAGACCCAGGAAGATGTTATGTGCCCTATCGGCAGATCACAAAGTGCCCGATGGGACACAGAACAGCTCTGCATGGCCATTTCAGATCAGGAAACTGGTACGATGGAGGATTAAACTTCTCTGACACAGTCCCCATCTGAACAGGGTCCAATACAGCTGCCTTTCAGAAAGAAAATTTCTTTCTTTCTTTCTTTTTCTCTTTCTTTCTTTCTTTCTTTCTTTCTTTCTTTCTTTCTTGATCGTCATGGGGACTGTATAAGATTCTGCCCCCCCACGCCTGTCCAGGAATGAGGGAGGCTTCTTTCCTTCTTTCTTTCTTTCTAGATCGTCATGGGGATTTTGATTCAGATTTTCTCCCAGCTGTTCAAACATACAGGAGGAATCAGCCAGTGGTGAAAGCAGGAAGTCGGAAGGAGTTGTCTTGTACCACCAAGTTTTATATCTGTACTGACATGCAGGCTCTGGGTATCAGGTTCTGGCGTCTTGTTCTGCTTTACAAAGCAGCAAAGCCTGGCTCTAAAGAAAATCTTTTTTCATATATTTATTTATGGGCGTGTGTTGTTTTACAATAGTGATATTTACCACTGAGGAAGGCCCTAAGGGACTGAAACGTGTATGGTCTACTGGTCATAAGACATGCCCACCAATTGTATATGTGAAACTTACAGCTCTGCATGTAAAAAGTTTTAAGGGTCTGATAGTTGGATCTTAAATATTTGTATTTTTATAATAACTTATTTTGTTAGCTTGACCCTTACAAGATAACAAACCCAGAGGAAGTTTCTGAAGTCCAGCATAGTACAGTCAAAGTCAGGGTTTCAGAGTTCATGCCAAGCAGTGTTGTTCAGTCCAAGGTCAGGGTTTCAGAAATCAATCAGGCAGTGTTGGCAGTTCAGCATCTAGTTGCATCCACCCCAAACAGCCTCTCTTGGGAGGCTTTATAACCATCTGCCCAAGCGTCATGCCTCCAGCCAGCTACCCAGGAACAGTCCTGCGAAGACTCATCTTCATTATCAGCAGGCAGCTGGGGCCAAGCCAAGAGGCGTGCACTTCGTCGTCTGACCTGTAACTCAGCTCTCAGCCTTTGTCTTCGACATTCCAAAGCTGCAGGTGATCCCGGAGGGCTGGGAGCTGTCAAATGGCTTTCACCTGCTGAATCGGGGCCGGAGGGTGGAGGTGGTTCTGCACCAGCTGTTGGCTGTTCGTCCTGGCATGCCTGCAGCTCATTTTCCTGCTGGTTGGCTTCTTCCTGCTGATCAGTTTCTGTCAGCTTCAGGATGGCTACACAGGGCCTCTCCTTCTCTGAGGAGACCTCACTATTCGCTGAGCCCTGGCTGACCCATGACAATATCCTAACTTTAGAGCAGAAGTCTGAAGCTTTTTTTACAATTAAAGAGCCAAATGACATCTTCATTTGGAATGAGATATCAATGAAGGGCAGTGAGGCAGTGCTTCTTCCCGGTGTGGGTGGACTTGCCGGACTGGCACTCGCTGGCAAGACTCGCTTGCTGGACTGTGGCACTTGCTGGTGCCTAGGCACTGAGGCACTGAGGGGAGGCGCGAGGTTGGCCCACCGGCAGTCTCTGGGGGGAAGGTGGGAAGCAGGGCTTCTTCTGGGCGGCGTGTGGGCTTTTGGTGGGGCCAAGGCCAGCCAGTCAGAACTCAGAGGTGGCGGCGGTCACCCAGTCAGGGAAGCCACTAGGAGATCATGCAGCCTGCTTTTGGCAGGGGCTGGGGGGCTTTGGCGGGGGGGCCAGTCCTGTTTGGCGCCCCTAGGACCGGCCCGCACTCTAGGCAAATGCCTAGTTCACCTAGTGGGTGAGCCGGCCCTGGCAGTATAAGAAAGCTCATTTGCATAACTGAAACTATTCAAATTAACCATGAATGATAACTGACATGTTGATAATCCATCAAGCTTCTGCATAGTGAACCTGTTAGGAAGCAGCACACACAAGGTCCCACAATGAGTCAGAAACAGAGACAGGTGCACCCAGCATAATTGTTTTTTTTGTTTGTTTGTAGCACGATGCTCGAGCACCTCTGACTCTGCAGTCGAAAACCTCTGCTGCTAGATGGTGCAAACTTTGTTCCGGGCCTGAACACTCATAGAGGTTAATTTGAGTGAAAGAAACCACACCTGTCCCTCAGACGTCTGTCTGAAGAACAAAATGCCTACCCCTTGAGTATTAAACTTGACCATCCCTAGCACAGGGGAACGGGAGCCCTGGATGGGTCAGCAACGGCATCTCCAGAAATGGAGGCGACGCCTGGCAACGTATTCCAATAATTCATCTTCACCCAGCTTGCTATGGTTGCCAGCTCCACCTTGGGATATTCCCGGAGAGATGAGGTGGCGCCTGGGGAGTAGAGTTTGGGAGAAGAGGCGGAACTCATAAGGGCTGTTAATTCTGCAATGACCACCCTCTGAAGCAATCATTTCCTCCAGGGGAACCCATCTCTATGGTCTGGAGATCACCTGCAATTCTAGAACCCAAGGGTCCACCTGGAGGTTGGCAACCCAGCATTTTGCCCATGAGAGCTGGGGATTCTGGAGATGCCCAAGTGCTACTGGCTCACCCTGTCCCCTTTCAGCGTACCTTAAGGCTGTATGTTTTGTTTCAGGTGAACTGCAAGCATGTTGTGATGATGGAGAGACGGCGCCTTTGCAGCAGGAGCAGACCCAGTTAGTAGCCCATGAAGGCTACCTGGCGTGCCTGATTTCCTTGCTGAAAAAACTCCACTGCTACGTTTCCCAGCAGTCTCAGCGCCACACGAGGCATGCCAGCCAAAGCCTCCAAAGAGTCCTAGAAAGCCAATATCTGGTAAGGATACAATTGGAAGGTTACTGGTTCTGGGGGTCCAGATCCTTCTTTAGTTAGTTAGCAGAGTGCACAAGGTTTTAATGCAGCAGTGCTTTGTCCCTAGCCTACCATGTGCTGGCAAGTTTACAAAGTCACACAGAGCCACATTTCAGTTTAAATGAAACTAACGACGACTTTATCCTAGAAATCCATACTTGATAGGGCAGAGTAGGGAAGTAGAGAGAGTTCCTACGCTATCTGGTTAGCAGATGGATGTGGATGCGGAGAGGAGCATCCTGTATCTCCATCTTTTGTGCATGGGAGAGAGAGGGGAGAGAGAGAGAAGAGATGGAAGGAAGTTCCCTTTCCCTAAAGAGTATTGATCAGGGGTCGTTTCATAGAAAAAGAGCTAGGGGAACTCATTAGCATAACTCATTAGCATATGCCATACCCCCTTACATCACCGGAAGTGTGTCATAAGGCCACACACCCTGCCCCCAACGGGCCCGGCCACCGGCCTTGCAGCGCCACTGCCGAGTCCCATGAGGGGCCCGGCGGTGGACCTGCAAGGCTGGCGGG